GACAAACTTTACTGTTACAGAAAACAAGTCAAGACGAACTTTACAGTTACAGAAAACAGGTGAGGACAAACTTTACTGTTACAGAAAACAAGTCAAGACGAACTTTACAGTTACAGAAAACAGGTCAAGACGAACTTTACAGTTACAGAAAACAAGTCAAGACGAACTTTACAGTTACAGAAAAGACTCAACTAGTATAAAGAACTGTCTACAATTTGATCCACGAACGACAAATGTTTCATAACTATTTTCATAACATAACAGATGATGAGTCAATGAGTGTAAACATAAGAACGGATTTTCGCAGATAGTTTGGGAAAAGGTTCGCAAAACCAAACTAAGAAGCAGAAAATTAAAAACATGAAAACTGAAAATTTTAATAAACTTGTTTCTCTTAACAGGCATGCATAACCTAGCTATGTCCTGCGCTATGGTCAGTCTAATTTTGTTAGCGACTTGTGCCCTGGTAGGAGCGTTTGGCCTCATGAAAAGACAGTTGTCTGCTATAATGGTCACCGGTGTAATGTTTTTCCTTGCCGGTAGGTGTCTTTTGTGGAACATTGTCAACCTCTTTGATTTAGATATTAGTGTTTGCATATTACTTTCAAATATTTTTTGTGTGTGAGTGTGATGTCGCTAGTATCGATAATAAAGATGGTGACCAAATGAAAAATCAGTTTGTTCTAATCAGTAATAAGCTTAAGTTGTTCTCGTTTTTTTTATTTATGAAATTACATAATTTATTTATTAATTGTAATTAGCTTTATTAATTTACTAATTACTTTTGAGTTCTAATCTATATATTTAAATTATATTAGATGTGAAGTTATTATGTGTTATCATATAAACATAAAAATGTATCCCAATGCACCTACACTCTAGAAATCAAATCATTTTCCAGGAGAGTAAAATCAGGGAAGTAACCCAACTTATTAGTCCTAGAGATGCTGGGATAAAAGAAGCAGGATATTAATAGAGGTCATTGTGTAGTTTTGTGTTTAACAACAAACAAACAAACGCAAATATAAAATGTCACGTGTTTTACGCAACTCTTTGTACTAATTAGGGATCTATTGCTAGCTATTGTAAAGTAAGATTACATTTCGTGTGTGAAAACAGCCAATGTAAAGTAAAATTACTTTCAAATGTTCACACCAAATGTACAACAAGATTATATTTTGTGTGTGAAAACAGGCAATGCAAACTAAGATTACATTTCTCGTGTGAAAACAGCCAATGCAAAGTAAAATTACATTTCTTGTGTGAAAACAGCCAATGTAAAATAAAATTATTCACACCTAATATAAAGTAAAGTTACCAAAATATTCACACCCAATATAAAGTAAAATTACCAAAATATTCACACCCAATATAAAGTAAAATTACCAAAAGATTCACACCCAATATAAAGTAAAATTACCAAAAGATTCACACCCAATATAAAGTAAAATTACCAAAATATTCCCACCCAATATAAAGTAAAATTACCAAAATATTCACACCCAATATAAAGTAAAATTACCAAAAGATTCACACCCAATATAAAGTAAAATTACCAAAATATTCACACCCAATATAAAGTAAAATTACCCGAAATATTCACAATCAATGCAAAATAAGATTACACTACATGTGTGGAAGCAGCTGATGTAAAATAAGATTACATTTATTGTGTGGAAACTTTCTCTGAGAGTGATATATAGATATGAATTCTGTTTGGAACTGTGTGAACACGCTATTGAAGCAGTTGACTCCAGGCCTCATCACATCTAGTTCTTAATAAAACGTAAAACAGAAGATATCACAGCTCAAAAGTGGCCTCTAAATCATTGTCCACTGTCTGCTGACTGGACATTTGTTACATATCTACTGTTTTTTATAATTATAACGAACATTAGTTTAAATTATAAGACAGTTCTTTCGTATGGTCTGTTGTGAGTAAAATTATCGTTTATAAGAACTGCAGTGTAACAAATTTTAACACATAATGTTAAATAAAAGTCATTTCCTCACGACAGCATGTAATGTTATCGCATATATCTATATATCTTTATGCTAAAGTTACCTGTCTCATATATACATATTTAAAGAGCTTCTCAGAACTTTAGCAATATCTGTATACGGGTATTCCCAAATTTATCCTTCAATGTCGTGTAAAACTTTACGTCACAAAGCGATATAATCTCTAACTTGTTTAACACCCTTTTATTTCAGCTCTATTTGGGTTATTTACGCTTGCTTTCATGTACTTCAAAAGAGTGAAACCCGAGGGCGTTCACACCAGCACCGTTATTGATAAAGGAATACCTGTCGAATATCTGAGAGCAAGAGAGTTTACAATGGGATGGTCTGCGTTGTTAGGGTTGGGTGGTGTAATATTGTGCTCCATTTCCAGCATTTTCTGGCTTCTTCTAGCTCGAGTGTTGAGGTATCAGTCTTTTACCATAACATAACAGCAGAGGCGACATCTTTTGGTCTGAAATCAAAGGAGAAGAATTAATCCATTATAAATATTCACTTATTATGTATATTTTCTTGTTTAAAATTACTGTTTGTAATTGTTTTAACCTGTTGAATTTATTGTTTTCTAATTCCCACTTAAATATCATTTAAACTTTTCGTCTTGTATTAAGTTTGTCTTTTACTATTCTATTATTTTAGCTAACTAGGAAATCAAACCATGTAAATCAATAAAGAAAACTTCACATTAGTCGTGCTTAAACTGTTATTTCTGCTTGTTTCAAATCATACACACACACATATAATATTCGTATACATAGATACTTATAAGGAACTTGTGTATGTTTCGTTAGAAACACTTTTGTACAGAAGTGACCTATCGGGTGCACTCAAAACATTCCAAGGTGCATTCATTTATTTTATGTTTTAAAAATAAGCAAAAATCATAATAACTCTTGCTAAACATATGACTATTATTCAATTAATTCGAATTACAACAAAATGTCGAGTAGAAGAAAATGTATTTATATCTTTGTTGTTCATAAATAGTTTTAAAAGAGACAAATTCATCGGAGAAAATGTTTTATTCTTTAAATATATACAGGATTTCAAATTTCATCAAGAATTGATAATAAGAGGAAACACGGCGACTTGCTATGTGTTAATTGTTTTCTTGTTGGACTTTAAAATCTGTCCTAATATACTTCTTGTGTTCACACTAACGTTAACACAGTCGTCTTACTGGTCGTTAAAATCTGTTCTAATATACTTCTTGTGTTCACACTAACGTTAACACAGTCGTCTTACTTGTCGTTAAAATCTGTCTTAATATACTTCTTGTGTTCACGCTAACGTTAACACAGTCGTCTTACTGGTTTTTAAAATCTGTCTTAATATACTTCTTGTGTTCACACTAACGTTAACACAGTGTTCACACTAACGTTAACACAGTCGTCTTACTGTTCGTTAAAATCTGTCTTAATATACTTCTTGTGTTCACACTAACGTTAACACAGTCGTCTTACTGGTCGTTAAAATCTGTCTTAATATACTTCTTGTGTTCACACTAACGTTAACACAGTCGTCTTACTGGTCGTTAAAATCTGTCTTAATATACTTCTTGTGTTCACACTAACGTTAACACAGTCGTCTTACTGGTCGTTAAAATCTGTCCTAATATACTTCTTGTATTCACACTGACATTAACACAGTCGTCTTACTGGTCGTTAAAATCTGTCTTAATATACTTAATATATGTTAATCAGTAATGGATTGATTAAGTATGTACTAGAAAAATGTTAGATTTCCCAACATGATAACTTAATTATAATAGTTGTATATTTTCCCAAGTCCAACATGATAACTTAATTATAATAGTTGTATATTTTCCCAAGTCCAACATGATAACTTAATTATAATAGTTGTATATTTTCCCAAGTCCAACATGATAATTATAATAGTTGTATATTTTCCCAAGTCCAACATGATAACTTAATTATAATAGTTGTATATTTTCCCAAGTCCAACATGATAACTTAATTATAATAGATGTATATTTTCTTCATCGCCACAAAGGAACAAATGTCATTTATAGATAGCCACAAATTAAGTTATAACTTTAGAATTAAGAATGGAAATGGGGAAACGTTTAAGAAACAGGATGTTTTTGTTGTTTAACTTGCATGGTTAAAGTAAATTTTAAAGTATTTTTCTCAGTTATTAAGTTTGTTTCAGTTGCAAAAGAATTCCATTGACTCATGATTCTAAATATATAAAAAATTTCTGTACATTTATATATCTAAGTAACGTTGTATATCCTATGGATTTTCACGAGGTTACCGAAACGCAAACGACACAACAAGTTCATGTATAAATAAATATCTTCATGTATAAATAAATAACATGAAACGATTCAAAGAGTTAAATATGGAAAAAGAGAAAAAAAAAATCATGGAAAATATGTGAATATTTCCATTTCACCCTAGCGGCCTCTAGTGTTAATGAGAAACATCATTGTTATTGGTTGTATTAAAATTGCAAATGTGCAAAACATAAAACGGTTTATGCGATATAATAATACCACAGACACGTGTTTAAGTGTAAATGTGTTTATAATTAAAAAATATTTATCAAAACTTTAGAAAGTAGTTTAGGAGTATTAGTTAATCTCGAATTTGAGTACCGGATGGAATTAAACTAACCTAAATAAAATTTATAATAATTCACTTATTTAATCTAGCTCACATAATTGTTGTTTTTTTTTCATTAAATTGGTGATAAAAATATGGCGTACACCACTGCTGCATGTGGCGTATCTTAGCCGGCCTGATGAGCCCTGGTATTTGGCGAAAGGCCTCGTCGGCACTGGATATGGCAGATGTAATGTGATCGGCTTATTATTACATGTCACTATGCTTTGTTTTCACTCGTAAGTTCTTAAAATATAGTACTATTTTTTCTATTATTCGTGCCCCTAGTGGTGGATATGAAGAAACTTGCTGTGTTTCTTTGAAATGTGCGCATTTTCAAAACATCCTTACAGACTTATCGTAGACGTTATAAATAACAGCGTTATAGATTTCTATCGGCGATGACGTACTTAAAACCTCTGAAGGGTTTACGTTCGTCTGTCTCAGCATTTATAGAACTTCTTGGTAGATATAAACGTATACATTTTTGTCGTTTTATCACTTTGGCGGCTTTATGTTGTTTTTTTTTCTAGACCTCAGGTAGGTGTGAGCGTCTAAACAGAAATAAAATGTGTCGGCTTTTTCTTTGTAGCCATGTTTCATACATTTAATTGTTACAAAATTAACCATATAACATATGAAACACCACCATTATGAGATGAAAAAAAACAACAACAACGAACTTTTCAAGCAGTTTCTTGTTTTCACGTTCGTACCGGTTTTATTAACAAAAACTACACAGAAAATGAACTCAAGACGTGAATTCGTTAAACGTTATTTCGTGAAACATGGCCCGGCATGGACAGGTGGTTAGGTCGCTCGACTCGCAATCTGAGGGTCGCGGGTTCGAATCCCCGTCCACACCAAACATGCTCGCCCTTTCAGCCGTGGGGGCGTTATAATGTGACGGTCAATCCCACTATTCGTTGGTAAAAGAGTAGCCCAAGATTTGGCGGCGGGTGCTGATGACTAGCTGCCTTCCCTCTAGTCTTAAACTGTTAAATTAGGGACGGCTAGCGCAGATAGCCCTCGTGTAGCTTTGCGCGAAACTCAAAACAATCGTGAAACATTCCGTTTATTTGTTTTATAAAAAAACTGACATAAAAACTATCCGCGCATGGCATTCCTAAATTTTGGTCTGATAGACTTAATTAGAGGAAGTTTGTTTGTAATTATTAAGCTCAAAGCTACACAATGGGCTATCTGTACTCTGCCCACCACCGGTATCGAAACCCGGATTTAATTAGAGAAGGAACAGCTTGCCAGCTGCACCTAATTTTTGGAATTCTCTTGTCTGTCCGAATAGCAGGACTTGACCGTCATTCGTATAATGCACCCATGGGCCCAAAATCATGAAGCGAGATTATTTCTCAACGGGCTGCAAACCACGAACCCTCAATTCGAGCACACCAGACGCTGGTCAACGAACGACCCAGCAATATATATTATAGCTTTACTACATGACAGCATGTTACTTTTAAAACCACTGGATACGAGGCTATATTACAAATTCCAAACGTGAAAAGACCAAAAAAAACGTACTGTTAATTGGCATAAAACGTTGATTCTCCAGGACATGCCGAGAGGCCAGATCTTGATAGGGGTGAGAAGTTGTATCTCAAAACATCCGGACATTTAACAATGATGAATATATTAAATTGTGTCTCATCCCCCCCCCTTTTTAACACAATTTCAAACCTGTAAGTCACTTTAAACATCCTAATATATTTTTAGTGTCCGACAATTTTTTTCAGTAGTTGATGACAGTATTTTTGAAACTGTGTGCCGAGGGAAGCTGCTAGAGATGTTTGGAATTTCACACAAAGGCACACGAGGGTTATCTGCTCTAGCCGTCCCTAATTTAGCAGGAATAGACTAGAAGGATTGCAGCTATTCAATGCCACCCACCGCCAACTCTTGGCCAACTCTTTAACCAACGAGTAGTGGCATTGCTCATCACATTATACCGCCCCCACAGCTAAAAGGGACGAGCATATTTGGTGATGGGGATTCGAGCCCGCGACCCGCAGATTACGAGTCGAGCTCCGTAAACACCAGGCCATGTAGGTCTGTGAAAACAAAAATTGGAAAACATGGATTTAGGGTTCATAATTATACGCCGCCCACCACAAGTAAACGTACACTCTTTTATCACGTAACATTTGCCCAGTTAGCAGAGTATTTTAAATACGAAAACTATATTCGGTATTCCGAGTTCCAAGTACCTGAATTTATTTACAAACATAATTGTACACCGCCTCGCTGGAAGCAATAGACACGCCTTTAACCCATGACATGACGTGACCCATCCAGTGGAGTATATATATAAAACAAAAAATGATCATGACATGACTCATCCAGTGGAGAATATAGAAAAAAAACGAACATGACATGACCCATTCAGTGGAGTATACTAAAATAAGAACATGACCCATCCAGTGGAGTATATTAAAATGAGAACATGACCCATCCAGCGGAATATATTTAAAAACAACGAACATGACATGTCGTAACCAGTGGAGCATATTAAAATAAGAACATGACATGACCCAAACAGCGGAGTATATCAAAATACGAACATGACATGACCCAACCAGCGGAGTATATTAAAATGAGAAAATGACCCATCCAGCGGAATATATTTAAAAAACGAACATGACATGTCCTAACCAGTGAAGTATATTAAAATAAGAACATGACCTGACCCATCCAGTGGAGTACATTAAAATACGAACGTGACGTGACCCATACAGTGGAGTATATTAAAATCCGAACATGACATGACCCAACTGGCAGAGTATATCAAAATAAGAACATGACATGACTCATCCAACGGAGTATATTAAAATCCGAATATGAAATGACCCATCCAGCGGAGTATATTAAAATAAAAACATGACAAGACTCGTCCAACGGAGTATATTAAAATCCGAATATGAAATG